GGAGGTATTTAGCTCTCAAAAGGGATTGGGGTTTTAGATCTTTGGGAATTTCCTTTTCTTAATACCCCTATTCTTCTTTCATCCAAAGCTGTCGTAACTTGGGCTCATCATGCTATACTCGCGGGGAAGGAAAAATGAGCTGTTTATGCTTTAGTAGCTACCATTTTACTGGCTCTAATATTCTCTGGCTTTCAAGGAATAGAAGAAAAGAAGACCCTGATATTATTATTATGAAATAGCTCGAACCCTCTTTTAATACACTGTAGCAACAATCGGCACTCGAGTTCTTAGTGCCAAGTGCAAGAAGTACGCCATTTCCAAACATCCTTGTTCAGCGTGCTTGAATTGAAGGCACTTGAACCACTGAACTTATCACTGAATGACTGGGTGGATATAGCCCATAGAGATTACTTTCGTTGGGGACTGCTGATGTAGCCAATTCTTCGTCGCTTCCTCTCGCTTTGCTCTCAATTAGGTTAGGTTGAGCCTCCCATGCTTTCTATTGGTTGGGATAACGCCTCTTCTATGTAACCTTTGCTTCACACAAGGTCTCCCCCAGTACAGTAACATTACAAACAAGACGGAAGAGGAAGATTTCCTATAAACAAGCGACTTCCTTCTCTTCTCTACGGAAAGTTTCCCATTGGGGGATTTCCCCTCCCTTTGGTCGGATAGTACTGGTTCCCGATCAACGGGATAGAAGCATGAAGCAAAGGAAGAAGATTCCAGGTTTTCTTTTTCAACGATCTAAACTCTTTCATAACTCTAAAGAAGGGTTTTTGAGCTCGTGTTTTTCCCCTTTGGGTTGAACCTCCCCTAACGGATAGTTCCGCTAGGACCGTACTTGTTTTTCTTCTCTTGTTCCCCTTCCTCTCCTGACGTCGAGCTAGTTAGAACTGCCTTCCTCTCCGTCTTTTTCATTTGGTGAAAGACCTTCTTTTTCGGTTTTTGAGGCCCCCTTCGGCTGGTTTCTCTTAACCCAACTTCCGCTAGGGCTGGATTCCGATTCCTTTCTCCCATCTTCCTTACTTTCTTCACGTGAAAGCTAGCTATCGACCTTCTCTCCGACTTCTTCCCAGTGGGCTGGAAAGTACTTGTTTGGTTAGGTGGGTTTAGCCGTATCCCTTTCTCAATATTTAACTCTAATGCCTACTTCCCCTTTGGGGGTTTCTCTGAACAAGACCCCTTTGGCCGGAATTCGATTCCTATTCTTTGTCCCAACTCTTTCCTCTTTTGCAGTTCCCTTTAAGATGTACTCCCAATGCTTTTTTCTCTCCGAATCGGCCAATTGCTTATCCTTACTGTGATAGACCATTCGCTTTCAGTGCAGGAAGGCCTACTAATAGGCATATTCACTTGGATTCAATAGTAGCCTATGAATGCCATCAATCCGCTTAGAGGAAAATGTCATCGTCAGCGTGCCTTGTGCCTTGTCCTATTATTTAGACTATTGATGGAACCTCAACAACCAACTGGCTATTCGCTTAAAGCATCCTGGTCTTTTGATGCTTTAAGCGAGGGCCCGTGATTGAGGCCTTTGCCAAGCTATGAAAGTAGTAGTGTGGTTGCGATACACTTACTTTGAAATTAAAGGGAACTTGGGAGCTTAAGCCTGAGAATGATAGATCTGGTAAAGAAATCTATGAGTGCTTGCTCAACGATGACGTCAGGGTGGGAGTATCCCAGGTTACAATTGAAGAGTGGGAGTGGATCCGGCCATTCTTCCCATTTGCTGAATATGAAAAGGCACTTTTGCTTGTTGTTTATCAAGGCATTGAATTGGCCACTAGTTCATCCCGAGAGTTCTCCTTTGTTCCACTTCGTTCCACTTCCCTTAAGCTTTTTTAAATGGGCCAATTTTTTGTGTCAATGAATCCTATGCTTTTTATATCGAATGGAGTAAAGCGAGGTCTTGGACATAAAGGTGAAAAAAAAAAAGGTAAGGTCTTTGAGCTAGTAGTAGGACCACATTATAAGAGTAAGGCGAAACTTGTTGAAGTACTGGCGGATATAGCCAACAACCCTTCCAATAATACAAATCTAGAACGAGCGCGCAAAATAATGAATGATATATACCAGCGGCGAGTAAAAGACCGAGACCTAGCCAGCTATGAATTTATTGATAATGACGAGTAACATTGAAGAAGAGAAGTTCTTTGATTGCGTATTGAATATAGACCCATGTTGTTCCAATAGCTTTTACTGACAAGAAGTCCCCTAAAGCGGTGTTTGAGGGGCAGTTGACCGAAAGGAAAGCAGGTATAAAATCACTAAATCAATTGAGGTACTCGACCCATGTGAACGAGGTTAACAATTCTAAATCTCTACAAGCAGTAAACCCATTTGATATAATTGAAACAAATTCATATCAGATACTCAAATATCCCAGCGTCCATCTAACACAAGCCAAAATGCCCCACTCTTTTTCCTGTGCAAAGTGGAGCTTTGATTTTCTAGACTGAATGAAGATTGAAGACAGAGTCTGTTGTTTTATCAGGGTTTGTAGTTCATATGAACTTGTTAACACAATTCCTGTATAATTTTTTATGTATTTGAAAACGGAGCCACAATTGAGAAGGCAAGCAGCATATTGTCATGGGCCTAAGATTGGGCTTTCTTAGGCCCATGACAATAGGCTTCTATTCTTCTTTTGGTTCTTCTAGGGCTAGATTTTCTATTGGTCCAACTTGCCATTAACGGGAAATACACATGGACTTAATGGGCAATAGATATTGAGCCCATTATATGGTGATTATAAACAAATTAAAACTCATATTTAGATTCATCAAGTGGCTACATTATTAAAGTGAGATCGCAACTTCAATGGCATTATAAAAATTATCTTGTTATTATTCTTCAATCAAATCACAACACAACTATCAATGTTTGTTGATTCAATTGGGCCAAGTTGGTACATCGAAACACATGAATATCTTTTATGCATTCCCTATTTTAACTCAATTTTTTATTTATTATCCAAAAATAATTTCTAATATTAATATGACCCATAAATTTGAATTATACTTTTAATATTTTTGGGAACACCACTTTTTTTACACAAAATATGACAACTTAAAAGAGCATATCCAATGATACTCTTTATTTTAAAGAGTATTTTTCATATAAATAAAGAGCGTTTCATTAATTTATAAATATAAAGAACAAAATTTTTATTTAAATCTGATGTTGCTTTTTATTTTAAAGACCGTTGTGGGGAGGAAAAATGTTTTTTCAAGAAAGAAACTTAATATGAGAGATAATTAATAAATAAAATGCATATAAACTTATAATTTATTAATTAAAATTAGAATAGAGAATGAAATTTGACTCTTTAGAACATCTTCAAATGACTCTTTATATGACCTAAACTCTTTATAAAATAAAAACAAGAGTCCAATAGACTCTTTATTCTTTAAATATAAAAATGTTTTTTCAAGAAAGAGACTTTTTAGATGTAGAGTCAATATCTCTCATATTAAGTCTCTCTCTTATTTATTAATTCTAATTTAAATAATTCATTGGATTTGAATACAAATTTAATTTTATTCTTTATATTTAGAAATAGTCTGTTGGATAATACATCTAAAAAGTTAAATTGCACTATCTATGGTTATTTTATTTAGTAAATTACAAGTTTCTATGCATTTTATTATTAATTATCTCTTATATTAAGTCGCTCTCTTATTTATTAAGTCTAATTTAAATAATCCATTGGATTTGAATACAATTTGTTTTTCTTTATATTTAGAAATTAATGAAGATGCTCTTTATTTATGTAAAATATGCTCTTTAAAATAAAGAGCACAATTAGAGATGCTCTTAGATGCGTAGAGTCAAAATCACTTTTTAACTTATATTTAAAGAATAAAAAGTATGTTAGACTCTTATTTTTATGAATAAACTCTTTATAATAAAGAGTTTAGATGACATAAAAAATCATTTAAGATGCTCTAAGTAGTCCAATTAATGGACTTTGAATGGTTGATATTTGATATAACTTGCATAATTATTGCAGTTTGTGAATTCTGTTCTGTTAATTTATATTGTAATTTAATATTATTTCTAGAAAATGGTTTTAAAGATGTTTTAAAAATTCCATTAAATTTGAACATAGTATTATTGCCTTTATTTTATTGGACCAATATGATAAATATGAAAACTTGTGTCCTGAATTGGTTCTGTAGGTACCAAAGTAAATCAAATCCAACCTCGTATAGTGAAAAGGATATAGAAAAATATAATTATATAATTTTTGTGGGGAATTAAAACAAAATTTGTACAAGAAAATTGATTATTACATAAGGCATATTTGATTTGATTTGACAAGAGCTTTAATTTAGATCTTAGAATGCTTTCTTTATGCTTTACCGTACTGCTTTGGGAAAGAAAATATGAACCAGCAAAAGTACTTTTAATGTTTTGCGAAATAGTTCTTTGTATATGATGTGCCAAATAATTAGTTCAACACTTTTTGTTCAAAGTGCTTCTACAAAAAAAAAGCACTTAAATCAATGGGTGTCTAAGAAAATTCATTATTCTATAATGTATTTAAGGAATCGTTTGGAATGATTTATTTAAGTAAAACTTATGAAGAAGAGTTTATTAAGTTATAATTTATGAGAAAAAATATTAATTTTTTTAAAATATTAATTGTTTAATTAAGAAAATGTAAAAAAATATTTTTAATATAAATTTACTAAAAAATCCTTTAACATTTAAGAATATATCAACTCAATAAAATAAGCTCAAAAATCCTATAAAAGAATTTATTTAATATNACCACTCACTCCAGTTCTATCACATGTTCTGTAGAGAGGTCTAAGTGATCAAAGAGTAAGATAACCTCATGTTTTGTAACTCTTGTAACTCAGATTATTTATACTTTGTACAACAAATTGACTAGCAAACAACAATCAATAGCAATATTATATTAGCGATTTAGCGAGGCTAATTCGCCATCAGGCCAGTGAAGAAATCAAACTATATTTTTTTTCTTTTTGTCAGTGGCAACCAATCAATAAAACAAGGCAGATACCAGCGAGGAATCCTCCTAAAGAGATTAAATTTGGAAGAGACACAGACCTGTGCTTGAGGAAGAGCAGATTATCGTGGATGGCTTTCACTGAAGCTTCAAGTCTCGTCAAGTGAAATTCAACACCCTACATGGAGACATGTGGTGCATGCATAATCAGATAAACAGGAAAGTAGAAATGTATAAGATTGATGATAATATTTCTAGTTCCAAGGAAATTGAGAATTTAAGGATCGTGCCTCGATCTTGTCCTTCTTTGCAACTGAGTCCCAATCCTTGGCAGCAATTCCGATTCTCCAATCAAGACTTAGAGTTGTGCTTGTACCTTGTTGCTGGTTGCCCAACCAGAAACATGCCAAATAATTGCCAGCCTCGGTAGTTGTAAATGCAAATTGACCATGAGTAACATTTTCATTGTAGTGAGCATTGTTTCCAAATGGAGTTGTGACCTAAATAAAAGAGAGACAGTTTATAAGTTACAAGTGAAACTACTGACCCCATAATTGCAGACCCCTTGCAAAGGCCCAATTGGTTCACCATATTGAAAAATAGCAGAAGCAATCGTCTTATCAGTAAGCCAAGCATAGAACAAGTTACTTCATTCAATTCTAGCGTAGTGAAATTTCCACACACTCAGTACATATCTGATATTACTTTGTGAAAAAAAAAAGTCTGAATTTAGGAGAAAAATGCTAAATATCTAATGCAGGCAACTCATCATCATAATCACGAGAGTTTTAATTTCATATTCTACTAGTAAACAAATAAATGCAACAGGATCATTGCTCAGCTGCCCAATTCAAAAATTAAGAGCCCAAAATTATAAAAAAACAACTTCCTCATCGGGCTTATTACCAGTTCAGTAGGTGTTATAAAGGCAAGTGAACGGATGATTAAAGCTCAAAAGCAACATGAAAATGAAACCATAGCAAATCAATCACAACTTTCACAACAGATCGTACTTCCAACTACCACAAAACTCAATCACTATCAAAACCATAAAAATGGGCATACCCATATAGAGATTTGAATATTTTAAGTTATATTATGAATTTAAACCAGGATTAATAGATACCCGAACAGAGACAGTGGAAGGATTTTCAGGTTGAGCTTCGTCGACCACGTAATAATCAGCCAATACGACGACGTTGTTTTGTATCTCCTCGGACACACACTTGGTCCCTGAACTCGGTATATTTAACCAGATGGCTTCTGTGACCGGTACGATGTTGTTGTTTCCAGTTAAACATAGCAGAATCATTACAGACAACACCGCCACCTGGGCGCGTGAATTCAAAGATCCTGCCATTTTAGAACACTGAGACTTGGTACTTTGGTCTCATCAAAACAAGTTCTAGTTCTAGTCGTGTGTTAAAGACGAAGAGGAGTTGATTACACGTAAAGTGAGCGCGTGAGAGAGGGTGGCTCCGATTTGGGTGCGACATCGTCCTACTAAGACTTTTCCCGGGGCTTTGACGCAAGAGGTCTGAAGATTGTCCAATCAAATTAGAGTTGGACGATCCTCCTAGGACATGAAGTTTGTAATTGCAATTGTCTAATAAATTCCCCACGCGCACCAACGTAGCGATTATGATTCTATTTTTCTTCTTTATTAATAGTAAAAAAATAACTTTTGATTTTTTTTGATAGATTTGGGTAATTATTGTAGGCCCTCGGGCCTCGGCCCTCCAAAGATTCAGATTCTAAAGTCTCATCGCTCTAATATTATGAGAAGTTTTATTAAATAGTAACCCAGATGACGATTTTTAATCATTTTAGCAGATTTTTACGTAATTAATCATTATAATTATCATAGATAGAATAAAATTTTAAGTTCTTACATTTTAAATTCTTTCTTTTAACAAGGTCTCTACACCTTTTGTTTTACAGAATTTGAATGATTTTTTTTTTTTTTTATAATGACATCATTAAAATTATAATATTATATATGTAAATGTTTGTTTTCACTGTAATATGTATTGCAAATTATTTATGAACTAAAGATGGGTCGTGCGTTGCGCGGATATGTTTATTTAATGTTTTTGAAATAGGTTGTAAACAAATTTATTATAATAGAATAAAGTAATTAGATTAAGAGATCATAATTGTTAAATTATATAAGTTTTATAATAAATATAAATTTTATATACGTACAGAGTTGTATTAAGATAAAATTAATAATTGTACTTTTATAATTATTGATATCAATTAATATTATCAAGATCAATTATTTAAATTTAAAATTTATATTGAGCTTTGCAATTTCTGTAACTTATATTCATTTTCAAGTTTGACATTGACTGGTCAATTTTTTTCTCATAGTATAGGGTTCATATATTTCTTTAAAATCAGTAATCCCCAACCAAGGTTTGAAAACAAACGTCTATTCACACAGTTCATTCAAAAGCTTTGTTTGTTTTATAGTTAAAAACATGATAACTCAATTAATTTCTAGGTTAATAATTGTAAAACTATAAAACAGAAACTTCCATCTTTATATGTTTTTATTTAAAATGGTTAGATTTTTGGAATGTGTATGTAATGTAGTTATATAATTATTATTAATACTCATCCAATGTGTGAAGATGGAATAATTAAATCAAAACCAACGTATCAAGATGGAGAATTTTTAGTAGATTCATTAAACAGTAAGTGCAATGCATCAATTAAAGGAACAATTTTCAATCAATTAACGAGTAACATCAAAATCAAGATAAAGTTGAACATTGAGAATAATACTTTTATTATAAAAGAAATACGTACATCGGTTTTTCATATGTGAAGTGGGTTGGGATGATGTAGATGGTGTTTATTTTCTATTTCTCTTATAGTTGTTCAATTCCTGTAGTGCATATGCATACTCTCTTTTGTTTATGTTATAGATAATGTCCATGGCAGATTGCATGATTTCTAACATCTGTTCAATGACTTCTCTGAATTTTTCTCTAACAATATGTAGATCATCCAGATTTGTGTCAACTTTTTTGAAAATTTCCCTCAATTCCAGCATTTCCTAAAAAATGTCTAAACCATTTGCAGAAACAATATACAATCAAATTTTATAAATATATGGAAACTGTAACATGAATCTGTAAATATAATTGTGAGATGAATTCTTGACATATAATTTTTTTTTTTTTATATGGTTTTTATATTCCCGCAAATATGTATTATCGTTTTGTTTAACATTTTGTAACTTAGGATACAAAAAGATGTGGAACATTCATACCTTTTGGTTGCCTTGGTGGAGAATTATTATTGTTGAGGTCGTTGCTGATATTCGTTGCAGATTCTTTTGGTTGTGATGTTTTGTCAACCATTTTCAAATTAAGTTGTAGAGAAGAAATGAACAATTAAAATGTATAATATCTGGAGAAAGTTAAATGGGTGATTGATGTCAGAGTAATATTTATAGGAGAATATGATACAAAAAGGTGGAATTTGAACAGACAACTGGTAATAAATAAACGTGTCGATCGAAAAATTGTTAATAATTGTTTGGATAAGGTAATACGAAACATTAGTAGACTACCTATACAATATTAAAGAAAACCGTAATAAATATTTTATTAAGTGTGCAACATATTAGTTAGGTAGTTAATGATGGTTTGGCAAAATGTTGAGATATTATAATAAATAAACACTGTAATTTACTAATAATAAAATCATGTTGATACATTTTTAAAGGAAGGGTAATAAATATTTTGTTAAGTATCCAAGTCAAAGATGATACGATGATATTATAATATATTTATTAATTTTTTAATTGTTGTTCGGCAATATGGTTATGAAACATGCATAAAGTTTGACTTCAGTCTTGTTTAATCAATAATACTACAAAAGTTTTTTTAAATCTATAATAGAAATGGTTGTTTATAGTTTTTTTTAATTAAGATTATAATATATTTAGATTGATGTTTGTTGAATATGTTTATTTTTTAACATTTTTATAAACAGTTTTGTCTAATATTGTTATTAAATATCTATTAAAATATTAAATATTTTTTTATGTTTTATCCAGTATTTTAGTCTTGTAATTATAATTTTATTACTTCACGTTAGAATATATCTTGATTTATTTTATCTAAATAGAATTAGGAAATAAACAGACGGAATAAATTTGAACTAATTTTTTATGTGAGAATTTTTGTCATAGAATAAAATTCCGATGGTTCCTTCACATTGATAATCCTTATATTGATTTTGAAAACGCATGTCTATCTATTCAATTTATTCAAAGTTTTTGGGATTATTTTCTGATCGTTGCCTTGTTTGTTTAGCAGTTGAGAACATGACAACCCAATCAGTTTATGGGGTACTGTATCAAACAATATAAAAGTTGCTCCAGAGAAATTAACAGACATCTAGTAACAGATAAACACGTTGATTGAAAAAGTGTTGACAACTTATTGGATAATGGGATGCGAAACGGTAGCAAACTGATTGTAGCGCAAAGTGTTGAATATTTCAATATCATTTATAGACTGATACTGAAATTTTCAACTGAAAGAGACGTTCAACCACTTCAATTTTTTTATTAATATGATAGTGCGGCAGCTTGGCTGATATAAACTCGAAAAGAAATTAAGCCACTTCATTTTTTATTAATATTATAGTTCGACATCTTCAAAAAATTGTCTAACGAATTGTATGGAATTCGTTGCCTAACCATTGTCCGTAATTACGATTGTTCAAAGCCTGCTATCGTCGATAACTTCACTGTCAAACCATCAATTTAGCTATAGAATGGTAATAGGGCAAATACCGATCCATAACTTATCCACCATTTAAGAATGCCTGGAAATTCGATAGATCAAGGTATCATTGAGGTCTACATTCCATTGTCGAACCATAATCAGGATGTAATTAGTTGCATTTATAATTTGTTATAACTTTTCCAGGAATACTGCTAAACCATGAGTTTGAATACTTATCCATGATATAAGGATGGCCGAAATTTGGATACTTTTATATATCAAAATTCCATAGTATAATAATAATCAAACCTAACAATTCCATTTGTTCCTATATTAGTCAGTCCCAGGTTATTTTTTATAGTCAGACCAAGTATTTCGTTTGGGGAGTAGATGATCTCCTGTGAATTCGTATAGCGGGAACGAGGCGGGCTTCAGGTCGGCCTCGTCCAAATTCATCCTCTCGAAGGTAGATGCGACAGGATATTCACAGCACTCCCATTATCCACCAACATTCTCTGGGTGTTATAGCGCCCTATCAGGGGAGTGATTACAAGGGCGTCATCGTGGGGATGGTGTAACCTAGCCGCATCCTGTTCGGAGAAGGAAATCTCTTCCTCCCGGTGAATCTTTTGTGGTCGCCGATCCGCACTCATTACTCTAATGGGGCCGTGATGAGCTTCACGAGCATACCTTTCTTGGGCACCTCGTGAATTCCCAGCGAAGTGTGGTCCCCCAAAAATCAAGTTGAGACCGAGCACCCCTTTCTGATTGCGACGTTTCTTACTTGGCTCCCCCCGATCTTTTTCTCTCGAGGGAGCAGAGTCATCGATGTATTCCTTGAAATGTCCCTTCTTGATAAGCTCTTCGATTGCTTGTTTCAGGGTTCGGCACTCGTCAGTATGGTGCCCATTGTCCCGATGATAGCGACAGTACTTTTTATTATTTTTGGCTGTTGTAGAGGTTTTCATGGGTTCGGGTTCTCCGAGCAGACTGGCTTCTTTGGACTTATCAAGGATGGCAAACACAGAGGCGTTCAGCGGGGTATATTGGGGCCTGTCGCAGTCACAACGAGGAACCGGGGCATAGGATTTTTTGTGCTCGTAGCGGGGTTTCTTTCATTTTCGCTGATCGTCAACGTCTCCTTTGCGATCAGCTCTTCTACCTTCTCCCCGACCAGACATACTGCCCGAAGATCCGTGGTCGCGACGTCGTAGTGCCGCCAATGAATTCTCTATGTGGAGGTACTTTTCCGCGAGGTTATAGAATCTGGTGAGGGAAACATTGTCCTCAGCCTGTAGTTATTTCCATAGGTCGGTTTGCGGGCGAACTCCGGCTATTATGAGAGTTCGGATCGACTCTTCGGGGGCGTGAGCCACCTTGTTGAGTTCCCTGTGGAAACGGTCGATATAAGATTGTAGGGACTCGTCCCTTTCTTGCCTTATGTTGCTGAGATAGCTCAAAGGCATCGAGAACTTCCGGTTTGCTTGGAAGTGCCGTAGGAACGTCGTGCTCATCTGAGGCCACGAACTGATCGTTCCAGCTGGGAGTGACCTTAGCCACCGCTTGGCATGAGAGGTTAGAGTCACAGCCAGGCAACGACATTTTGCAAGATCCGAAACCTGGTGGAGCTTCATCAGGTCATTGAATTCATGCAAGTGATCCTGCGGGTCATGGTTCCCATCGAACAGCCGCATGTCGGGCATTCTGAAACCTAGTGGGAGTGGAACGGCCAACACTTCGGGAGAGAAGGGAGATGCAGAGGCAGCCTGGGCCTACTCGTTCTGCTGCTCTCTCAGCCTGTCCAGAGCTCGCTGCAACTCCTCAATTTGCGGTAACGGAGCCAATTGGGGATTGCTTTCACCCACGCGAGTCCGGCCCTCGCGATTACGATTCAGGAGAGTCCAGAGGTCGGACTCCTCTTCGCCTCGGTCGGCGTTTTCGACCGCTCTCGACACACGCTGGCTGGAGGCGTGTGAAGGCGATGGATGGTGCGGGGTATTTTCACGACCCTCGCGGTGGTACGAACCGCCCCGTGAGGTGTAAAGAACATCCTCACGATAGCGATCAGGATCATTCCGTTGGCGGTGATAAGAATCGCCCCGTCCAGTACTTTTGTTCGGGTTCACTTGCGACGTGGCATGGGACAGCTCGGGATTTTTTTTTTTGCCGAGTCTCAGTTTTGTCGGCACCCTGCTCGGGGCACGGTTTGTGTTCGCTGGCCCTTTGGAGCCTGTAGGCTTGCTTTTTGCCACTTGCTTACCCTTATGTCTACGTGCTGCAGTGCTCACGGCACGGGCTATTTCCCTTCGTCGCGCTTTCGTGCGACTTGCAAGCGTTTTTGGCCGTTGCACCGCCCCAACTGTTCTAGAGGGCACGCCTTGGTCCAGACGGTTCAACCTTTGGTTGACCGTCTAGAGAGTATTGTCGAACCTCTCCAGGTAGCCTCTAATGGCGGGGTCAAACTGCGAAGTTGCTGGGATATCCACCGCAGCAATTTGTGGGGATGGAAGTATTCTGGAAGGGGTATCCCCTTGGGTCTGGGGCACTCCCTCAACGCGCTGGTTAGCTTGTTCAGGTTCAGATTGGCGGGCCATATGTTGCTGTAGGACAAGTAGGTTAGAGATTCTCCTAATGAAGGATGAATACTAAATCTGGGCCCTCCTTCTAGCGCCAAACTGTTGATGCGTGATTTTTGACACCAACTAATTGACACGTGCGTAACGTTGATTGGTCAAGAGACACACGTGATTATGAATAAAACGTAAAGTAAATGCAATGAAAGCCTTTTAAAGTGGTTCGGATGCTAAGGTAGCAAGTCCTACGTCCACTGATTTGTATTAATATAGTGGGTCAGGTCGCAACAGCGGACTGACTTACAAATGATTGGCCAAGAAAAGTGAATACAAAGTATTGAGAGAGAGAGAGAGAGAGAGCTAATTTCCAGTGTAAAAATAGTCGAATCCCCTTAATGAATGGGTCTTCCTCTTTTTATAGTGAGGTGAGGGCAAGTAATCATCAGTAAATCCATGGGTTGGTGTGAATGTCAGGAGTAAATCCGGCTTTATGTCACATTTCCCACCTTCCAAACTGATTTTACTCGATTTAGAGCAGGGAAAGGGACACGTGGGAGCTCCATAGCTATTGGCAGGCCTGACGTGTGTTTACCGTTCTGACAGGAGCAGGTCACCCCCCCATCACGTGATTTCCTACGTCAGCCCTTAATTTTCCAGTAGTAACAAAAGTGGTTCGGCGAAGTTAACAGCCTACGTCCATTATGTTTTTTGTATATATTGTGAGAGCTAACAATGTAGTTTTAATCTAGAATTCGTATCCCCCTCTTCATCGTTTTAGGGGGTTTATATATAAGATTACATAAAGGAAAGAGCGAAATTAAGGGGATTACAACCAGTTTGAATCATAATTCCGATATCCTTGCGATTAGGCGCTATGATCGCGCAATGACAACTGTTGATCTAGTCATTCTCGCAATATCCGGGATTTGAAGTAATCTGAGGATTGATTGACTAATTCTTCGGATTGTCCGCAACTAGCTTATGTTGGGTCGAGCTACGGCTAGACGAGCTTATGCTAGGTCGATCTATCATAGTTGTCAAGATCATTCTGGGTCGAGCTACAATCTCACATTGGCCTGAGCTTGGCAGAGAAACCACACACAACACAATCAAATTGTCACACCTACACCCTCTTTTTCAATCTTCACCTCTTTCAAATCAATTCATAGGTGCCTTCTTCTTCCATCTTTCATTAAAATTATAATAGTATTTTATGAATATTTTTCCATCTTTGGATTGACAATTTAATCGTCCATCTGATCCAGCTACTCACTTTCACTCCTCACTGCAGTCACGCTTCTCCACAGTGAGCAATCCATGGCCGCCACCTTCCGTTATCTACTTCTCATACTCACAGCAACCCTTCTTGCTTCCCACGTTTCTTCAACACAGCAACAAGAAGTACAAGAACCAGAACCCATCACTCGCTACAAACAATATTTAAGATTCAAAACAGCCCACCCCAATCCTAACTACACCGCACCCGTCTCCTTCCTCCTAACCCAAGCCCAATCCATCGGCATCCAATCCAAAATCCTTGAGTTCGTCCCCAACAAACTCCTCCTTCTCTTAACTTGGCCGGGCTCAAACCCTTCTCTCCCTTCCATTCTCTTCAACTCCCACCTCGACTCCGTCCCCGCCGAGCCCGATAAATGGGCCCACCCTCCTTTCTCCGCCTTTCACTCTCCCGAAACCGGCCAAATCTTCGCCCGTGGGGCCCAGGACGACAAGTGTATCTCCATGCAATACCTCGAAACCATCCGCAACTTGAAACTCACCAAAAAGTTCCAGCCAATCCGGACCATCCACGTGTCCTACGTCCCCGACGAGGAGATCGGGGCGGCGGATGGGATGGCGAAGTTCGTTGAATCGAAGGAGTTTCGAGAGCTGAACGTGGGGTTTGTGATGGACGAAGGACAGGCTTCCACGAACGATGACTTTAGAGTGTTCTACGCGGACAGGGCACCTTGGAATTTGAAAATTAAAGCAGTGGGTGTACCGGGGCACGGCTCCAGGATGTTCGATAACAGTGCTATGGAGAACTTGATGAAGAGCGTTGAAATGATTACTAGATTTAGAGACACTCAGTTTGATGTGGTTAAGGCAGGAAAAGCGGCGAATTCCAAGGTTATTTCGGTCAATCCGGTTTATTTGAAAGCCGGGACGCCATCACCAACTGTGAGTATTTGAGTCAAATTAAAGTTGGTTATTAATATTTGATTTTGTGTTCATGATGTTAATTGTTCAGTTGTGTTTATGAAGGGGTTTGTAATGAACATGCAACCTTCAGAGGCTGAAGCCGGGTTTAATATTAGGTTGCCACCTACAGCTGACCCGGATCTTTTGCGGAAGAGAATTGCAGAAGAATGGGCCCCCTCTATGAGGAACATGACATATGAGGTTAGTTTTGGTGTTTTATTAATTTCGATGTTATACAAGTTAACGTAGAAATGGAAGGAAAATGGAAATGAAAATGTTTTTTTTTTTTTTTTTTTTTTGGGTAGTGATCGTGCTTGTGTAAAGTTGATTGTTCTAATGTCAGTTATGACAATTTGCATCGTTTTTAATAGAATCAACGATTGCGTATGTTATAATGAGGTATGAAATGAGCAAGAGTAGGTTGTGTGAATAGTGATAGCAAATGTGCCATATGCTATAATTTCGGTCATATCGAATGATAGTTGGAGAAGCTAAGTTGACTAATCCAGAATCAGTTAGTGTAAAGTATCCACATCATTCTCTCTATAGTAAATCAAGCCTGCATTTAAATATAAGTGTCAAGAGTGATTTGGTCATTTGTTGAAGCTAAATTAGATTAAGTTATCCCAAATTAACCAAGAAAATCTATACATACCATTCATTCTCTTCGAAGAGTAAATTAAGCATGCATTAAAACGTTAGTGTGTTTGTGGTCTTTATGATCTGTTTTCTTTCGGTAAGTACTTATGCTGATCAGTGCCTTCTGCATGGGGATTTGTTGTGACTGAGCTATAAGTACTTCATACTTGTGTACATGATATCTAGGAATCATGGAGCCAAATGAATTGTGCTTTTTATATGAAAGTTGTATGTCCTCTGTTGTAGGGTAAACTAGGTCTCAGATAACTCATAGTGATAATTTTTTTTTCAAGTTCTCCACCCAACAATTTTAATAAAACCCTCTTTTAAGTTGATATGGAGCAGAGGTTTTCAAATTATCTTTTGTTGTTGGCCTTGGATTCTGTTCAAAGGGTTTTTTCACATAAGATCGATTACCAGTGAAATTGAACACTCTGCTTCTTTGACATAAGAAGAGGACTAGGATCATTCACCTAGAAAAGCTCTGTTAGTCCTGGATCCTGAATTGGGAAAGTATCCTTCTTTGTTGGATACTTGTCACTTGATTTTAATCAAATCTTAAAATGATACAGAAATATTTCCCTTCTTTTATGGAAACAATAAGTTCAGTGTAATTCAGTTGAATTGGTATTTGTACACTTAATCTCTTGGTTTCAGTTTGTGTTGTGATGATGGAGCTCTGTCTATCACTTAATCATTTTTCATTCACTTGCAAGGCCAAATGTACTCACTCCTAAATAGTAGTTACATGATTTTAAATATACTGTTGAAAGTCAATGTGAAGTCGATTGATTTCAAGTTTTTATATATTCTATTTTCCTCCTTTTGTTTTCTTTGTAATTAACTAGATCTAAGTGGAAGCTTGTGTTGATTACTCACATATTAATGCAGATAATTCAGCTAGGACCATTAAGGGACTACAAGGGGCGCCCTCTAATGACCCTAACAAATGATTCAAATCCTTGGTGGTCTGTTTTCAAGCAAGCTATCACAGCAGCTGGAGGAAAACTTGCAAAGCCTGAAATTTTGGCTTCAACTACTGATGCTCGTTTCATGAGAGAGCTAGGAATTCCCACTCTTGGTTTCTCCCCAATGTCAAATACCCCTATCTTGTTGCATGACCATAATGAGGTTTGTCTGATTACCGGTCTATCTTTATGCAGTGTCCTTTGCATCTAGTGCTGATTCTTTTTCCTACCTTATTCTATCTTGCAGCATCTGAAAGATACTGTGTACTTGAGAGGAATTGAGATATACGAATCTGTAATCAGCTCTTTGAGTTCTTTTGTGGAAGCATCTCAGGAAGCATCTCAATAGACTCTCTCATCATTATACGTTTCAGTGTTTGTTAATGGGGAGAACGATCCATATGCTGAACTCAACGTGGTGGTTATGTTCCGACTAATATGGTTAGTCTTGCACTTCCCATATTGTTATTCTTGTAACTTTAAATGATTTGGTTGCTGTCAAGATCGTACATTACAATAATTGCTCCATTGGCTGCTGCAGAATTGTCTACCATGAATAATAATAGCATTAGGTTATCCTTCAGCAATTTGTATGAAGCAGCTTATGCATCATGTTATGATATCCTTTCCAGGGATATCCTCTAATTATTCTGAACTTGACTATCGTTTCTTCTGCATGATGATGCATATGAATTATGATGCTACAATTAGTATGCCCTCTGGCACTTAGCCACATACAAACTTGTAGATTCAATTGAACCTACTCAACTTTTTTAAAAAGTAAAAAAAGTTTTTATGTTTTATAGAATTTATAATTTTGACCCCATTTAAATTCCTGTTGACTCACAAAAATGAATTATCAATTAACACTTTTTTAACTTTTCTTTTTCTTTATTTCCTCTTATTTTATCTTTTTCCTTTAGTTTGATACTCAAGAATTACTACTCCTTTAGATTACAAGATAAGATGATGTTTTTTTTTTTATTTATTTAAATTTTTTTTTTTTTAGCTTTCTTAATTGATGAAAGATCATAAGTTATAGGGTTTTTGTTGTGTTTAATAAATGGATTTGAAATTTGAAGATTAAATTCTTAGATTTTGATATGATCATATGAGTTTTGATTTATTCTTGTTTATGTTGAGGTATGAGTTAATTAGTTGTTACTTTAAGATGAGTTTGATAAATTTTGGTTAGTTATTGAATTAATTTTGAATGGTTTAAAGAATTGATAAAACCCTAAATTGTAGAGATTTTGGGATTTGGTTTTGTTTAATAAACCTAAGTTATAAGATTTAGTGTTTCAATTTATAGTTGATGTTTTAACCTAGTTGACTAAAAATCCTGATTATGTCCCTGTTCAGTGCTCACACATCGGTCCTATCGACACATGTATAATTATTTAAAATTGCTCAAGTGTAAAGACACAAAAACTGGTCCGATCCTATTGCTAAACGTTTTGATTTTATAATAGTTATTACATATTTGAAGTTTAAGAAGTTATGAATATGTCGTAGGGACAAAAATTGCTGAATGATGAGTGACGCTGGCAAGACTGCAAGTATTTGTTTTTCACTATTCATTAATTGCTTTCCTTGTCAAACTGTCTCAGTAGGCTGATAGATAGAATTACATACTTCGACCTTATTCGACATTTACGTAAAGCATTAGAATTTAGAATTTACCAATGCAAGACAATTTACGAACCAGTCAAGAGCCCACACTTTCCTCAGTCCAAGAGGTTAGATTTAACTTTAGAGTGGCACCCCCTCAAATAGACTAGAAAAGCTCCATTTCTTAAAATATGTCATTTCAAAGTTTTAAAATTAAAGATTTTTCTTATGGCATTCCATAAATGTTCTTCATTCCAATTTTTTTTTTTTTATTTAAAAGAGTTAACATTCCATTCCTTTCACTTTTGTTATATACCTCTTCTCGTCGTTATTTCTAAAACAAAACTTTAAATAANTGGCTTCTGTTTTCTTCTCTTGATCTGAAGTCTTTCATTTTCATTCCTTTGTTGAGTTTACTGAACCTCCCCTATTCTGTTTTCTACTTTTGCAGCCATAGATGGCAAACGGCTACTCATGTTGCAGTCAATTTAATAACATTATTGCGGCCTGATAGGTGGCGGATCCTTGTTGAAAAGAAAAAAGAAGAAAAAAGAAAACAAGGAAAAATAATGAATGGAAGCCTTCCCTAAAACTAGGTAAGAATTTATGTTGCATTTGAAGGTTAAAGTTTTGCTCAATAAGACTTTTACGTTGATTCGGTGTTGCAAAGTTTCTTAATGCCGTTATCTGGTGGTGCAGGCCTTTTTCCAGGTCCATTATGATCTCCAGCTTTTGTTTCGAAGCACTTTGGGCCGCTGTTTCCCAATACTATTTAGGTAGTTTGTAGTGGCTTCTGTTTTCTTCTCTTGATCTGGAATCTTTCATTTTCATGCATTTGTTGTGTTTACTCAACCTTCTCTCTTCGGATTTTTGCTTCTACAGTTATATATGAGAAACCCCTACGCATGCTGCAGTCAATTTAATAACATTATTGCAACCTGACAGGAGGCAGATCCTTGTTGAAAAGAAAAAAAGAAGAAAAATGAAAACGAAAAAGAAAACAAGGAAAAATAATGAATGGAAGCCTTCGACTGGTTCCTCAAGGTTAGCTGTGTTATATGTGCCACTTATTTGATCAGTTACTATTTGTCTTTTGATTTTTTTCTCCCTTTGCTTTGATAACATTATTGTTGCGGTGTTAAATAGTTATGTTCTTTGGTTTGATGGATTTTTGTATTTTTTCCCATTGATTGTAGCAAAGGAAATAGTACTAACAAATCAAATAATGAATGGAAGCCTTCCCTGAAACTAGGTAAAAATTTATGTTGCATTGAAGGTTGAAGTTTTACTCAATAAGACTTTTACTCTGATTCGGTGTCACAAAGTTTCTTAATGTGGTTATTTGGTGGTGTAGGCATTTTTCCAGGTCCATTGCGATCTCCAACTTTTGTTTTGGAGCACTCTGGGCAGCTGTTTTTCCAATATAATTTAGGTAGTTTATCCTGATTTCTGTTTTCTTCTCTTGATCTGAAGTCTTTCATTTTCATTCATTTGTTGAGTTTACTTAACCTTCCCTCTTCTGTTTTTTGGTCTTGCAATTATAGATGGCAAACAGCTGCTCATGCTGCAGACAATTTAATAACATCCTTGTTGCCTGATAGGTGGTTGAAAAAGAAAAAGAAGAGAAAAAGAAAAAAAAAAAGGAAAAGGAAAAGAAAGAAAAAAATGAAAAAAAAAAAAGAGGAAAAAAAAAGAAAGAGAAAAGACAAAAAAAGGAAAAAAAGTGTACAAAGCTTGTCCCATTGGCAGGACGTGGAGGTTTGTCTTTCATCCAAGGCTGTTCATGCTTATTCATCCATTGGATGACACTCCAGAGGTAATAATTATTTCATTTACAGTCTTTTGACTTTGTATTTGTGCTTCTTTTATTTTTTTAGTTTTTATATGATAGTTTTCACTGACATACATATTTGGAGAGGCAAATTGCTTTAAGAATCCACCAATTATTATCTATGTAAACTTAAGCGTTCAATATGAAAATACCATTAGTTTTTCAATAATTTTTTTGGTGTTTCAGATCATTATTCCTGATGTAATCATGGAGCTCAAGGTTTGACAAACGAACAACGAAACGCAGTTCCTAATAATGGGATGTCATACAAGGTTCTTCATATTAATTATTTTCAAGTATTCTGTTTATTGATCTCCTTAAGAGTGATTTTTGTCAACGTTTTGAAAAATAGGTCTAACCCTTTAATAACCTTTCCATTTTAGATTATAAAGAGGTCAATTCTTAGTGGTGGAGGGGCAATTTGGGGCCAGCATCGTTGCGGTATTGGAGTTCCTGCTGTTGGCATCGCATTTCCTGGTTATGTTGCTTAGCCACAGCTTGGTTTGGGGAATTCCGAAATAACATGGTATAGTAGTTCTCTCTTTGCTTAAATGTTTTGGGCTTCCCTTAAATGTCTTTGTTAGTTTGTTAGCTGGATGATTGATTCGCCGCACATGGTTGAAATCATTTACTTTTCTTTATTTAAGCTGAGTTTAGAATGTACCAGCATTAAATATTTCCCTTGATTCAATTGATAGGTGATTTCATTTGTGTTCATCGGGTTGAGAGTGGGGTAGTGTTACTACCATGTTTCTTCTCTGATATATCTACTCTTTTAAATCTTTTAATGTTCATGCTTTGCTTTCTCTGAAAATGCTGGGAATTAACTGTGGTTGCTGTTGTTACTTTTTAGGCTTCCAGTTCTGGCAGGTGCTGTAGGAGCTTTGGGTACTACATGTTGTCCACCATATATTGCTGTTGATGGTGCTTATCATCCTTGCCTGTTAGGTTAGACATCTCGAACTGGTTCCTCAAGGTTAGTTGTGTTTTATCTGCCACTTAGATGATCTGTTACTATATTGTCTTTTGACTTTTTCCTTTGCTTTCATAACATTATCGTTGCTGTGTTAAACAGTTCTGTTCCCTGGTTTGATGGATTTTTATATTTTTTCCCTATGATTGCAGCAAAGGAATTAGCACTAACAAATCAAATAATGAATGGAAGCCTTCGCTGAAACCAGGTAAGAATTTATGTTGCATTGGAGGTTGAAGTTTTGCTCAATAAGACTTTTACACCGATTCGGTGTTGCAAAGTTTCTTAGTGTAGTTATCTGGTGGTGCAAGCCTTTTTCCAGGTCCATTGTGATCTCCAGCTTTTGTTTCAAAGCACTTTGGGCCGCTGTTTTCCTAATACTATTTCGATAGTTTATAGTGGCTTCTGTTTTCTTCTCTTGATCTGGAATCTTTCATTTTCATGCATTTGTTGTGTTTACTCAACCTTCTCTCTTCGGATTTTTGCTTCTACAGTTATATATGAGAAACCCCTACGCATGCTGCAGTCAATTTAATAACATTATTGCAACCTGATAGGAGGCAGATTGTTGTTGAAAAGAAAAAAAGAAGAAAAATGAAAAAGAAAAAGAAAACAAGGAAAAATACTAAATAGAGGCCTTTCCTTAAACCAGGTAAGAATTTATGTTGAAGTTTTGGTCAATAGGAATTTTATGCTGATTCTGTATTGCAAAGTTTCTTAGTGTGGTTATTTGGTGTTACAGGCCTTCTTCAGGTCTTTTGTGATCTCAAGCTTTTGTTCCGGAGCACATTGGGCTGCTGTTTGTTCCAATACAATATAGGTAGTTTATGCAAGCTTCTGTTTTTTTCTTTTGATATGAAGTCTTTCATTTTCATCCATTTGTATAGTTTACTCACCTTTTCTCTTCTGTTTTTTGGTCTTGTAGTTATAGATGGCAAACGGCTGCTCATGCTACAAACAATTTAATAACATCCTTGCGGCTTGACAGGTTGTTGAAAAGAAAAAAAGAAGAAAAACTAAAAAAAGGAAAAGGAGAAAAAAGGAAAAATAAGTGAAAAAAAAAAAAAAACTAGGAGAAAAAGAGAAAAAAATTAAGAAAAAAAAAAAAAAAGAGGATGGAAAGTGTAAAAATGCTTGTCCCATTGGTAGGCCTTTTTCCAAGTCCATTGTGATCTCCAGCTTTTGTTTCGAAGCAGTTTGGGCCGCTGTTTTTCCAATACTATTTAGGTAGTTTATATTTTCTTCTCTTGATCTGGAATCTTTCATTTTCATTGATTTGTTGTGTTTACTTAACCTTCTCTCTTCTTATTTTTGCTTTTATAGTTATATATGAGAAACCCATGCGCATGCTGTAGTCAATTTAATAACATTATTGCAGCCTGACAGGGGGGGATCCTTGTTGAAAAGAAAGAAAGAAGAAAAATGAAAAAGAAAAAGAAATAAGAAAAATTACTAAATGAAGGCCTGTCCTTTAAACCAGGTAAGAATTTATGTTGCATTGAAGGTTAAAGTTTTGCTCAATAAGGATTTTATGCTGATTCTTTATTGCAAAGTTTCTTTGTGTGGTTATTGTGTTACAGGCCTTCTTCAGGTCCTTTGTGATCTCAAGCTTTTGCTCCGGAGCACATTAGGCTGCTGTTTGTTCCAATACAATATAGGTAGTTTATGCAAGCTTCTATTTTCTTCTTTTGATATGAAGTCTTTCATTTTCATACATTTGTATTGTTTACTAACCTTCTCTCTTCTGTTTTTTGGTCTTGTAGTTATAAATGACAAACGGTTGCTCATGCTACAGACAATTTAATAACATCATTGCGGCCTGACAGGTTGTTGAAAAGAAAAAAAGAAGAAAAGGTGAAAAGGAAAAAAAAAAGTGAAAAAAAAAAAGGGAAAAAAAAAAAAAAAAAGTGATCTCCAGGTCCATTGTGATCTTTAGCTCTCCAAGTCCATTGTGATCTTTAGCTTTTGTTTCGAAGCACTTGGGCCGTTGTTTTTCCAATACTATTTAGGTAGTTTATATTGGCTTCTGTTTTCTTCTCTTGATCTGAAATCTTTCATTTTCATTCATTTTTTTTTTTTTACTCAACCTTCCCTCTTTTGATTTACAGTTATATATGAGAAACCCCTATGCATGCTGCAGTCAATTTAATAACATTATTGTAGCCTGACAGGAGGCAGACCCTTGTTGAAAAGAAGAAAAATGAAAAAGAAAAAGAAAACAAGGAAAAATACTAAATGGAGGCCTGTCCTTAAATCAGTAAGATTTTATGTTGCATTGAAGGTTAAAGTTTTGCTCAATAAGAATTTTACACTGATTTTGTATTGCAAAGTTTCTTAGTGTGGTTATTTGGTGTTACAGGCCTTCTTCAGGTCCTTTGTGATCTCAAGCTTTTGTTTCGGAGAACATTGGGCTGCTGTTTGTTCCAATACAATATAGGTAGTTTATGCAAGCTTCTATGTTCTTCCTTTGATCTGAAGTCTTTCATTTTCATACATTTGTATTGTTTACTAATCTTCTCTCTTCTGTTTTTTAGTCTTATAGTTATAGATGGCAAACGGTTGCTCATGCTACAGACAATTTAATAACATCCTTGTCGCTTGACAGGTTGTTGAAAATAAAAAAAGAAGAAAAAGGAAAAAGAAGAAAAGGAGAAAAGGAAAAAAAATGGTGAAAAAAAAAAGAAAAGAAAAAAGAAGAGAAAAAATAAGAAGTGATCTCCAGGTCCATTGTGATCTTTAGCTTTTGTTTCGAAGCACTTTGGGCCGCTGTTTTTCCAATACTATTTAGGTAGTTTATATTGGCTTTTGTTTTCTTCTCTTGATCTGGAATCTTTCATTTTCATTCATTTTTTTTTTACTCAACCTTCTCTCTTCTGATTTTTGCTTTTACAGTTATATATGAGAAATCCCTGCGCATGTTGCAATCAATTTAATAACATTATTGCAGCCTGACAGGAGGCATACCCTTGTTGAAAAGAAAACAAGGAAAAATACTAAATGGAGGCCTTTCCTTAAACCTGGTAAGAATTTATGTTGCATTGAAGGTTAAAGTTTTGCTCAATAAGAATTTTACGCTGATTCTTTATTGCAAAGTTTCTTAGTGTGGTTATCTGGTTTTACAGGCATTCTTCAGGTCCTTTGATCTCAAGCTTTTGTTCTGGGGCACATTGGGCTGTTGTTTGTTCCAATACAATATAGGTAGTTTATGCAAGCTTCTGTTTTCTTCTTTTGATCTGAAGTCTTTCATTTTCATACATTTGTATAGATTACTAACCTTCTCTCTTCTGTTTTTTTGTCTTGTAGATATAGATGGCAAACGGCTGCTCATGCTACAGACAATTTAATAACATCCTTGCGGCCTGACAGGTTGTTGAAAAGAAAAAAAAAAAAAAGAAAGACAAAACAAAAAAAAAAAACAAAAAAAAAAAAAAAAAAAGAAGAAAAGAGAAAACAAAAAAAAAAAGTGAAAAAAAAAAAAAGAGGAAGGAAGTGTACCTGGAGACATATTGCTTATTCATCCCTTGGATGGTACTCCACAAGTAATAATGTCTTGATGTTCGTGCTTTTTTTTTTTTTTTTTTAGTTTTTACCTATTTCACTAACATACTATGAATAGTCCTTTTGTTGAGATATATTGCTTTTAAGAATCCACCAATTATTATTTATGTAAACTTAAGTGTTCAATATGAAAATACTATTTTCAATAATGTTTTTGGTGTTTCATATCATTATTCATGACGTAATCAAGGGGTTCAAGTTTTGACAAATGAACAACAAAATGTAGTTCCTAATGTGATCTCCTTAAGAGTGTGATGTTTTTTAATGTTTTGAAAAATAGGTTTGACGGTTTAATATCCTTCCTGTTTTAGATTATAAAGAGGCCAATTACTAATGGTGGAGGGGAAATTTGGGGCCAACATCCTTGTGGTATTGAAGTTCCTGCTGTTGGCATGGCATTTCCTGGTTATGTTGCTCAGCCACAGCTTGGTTTGGGGAATTCCGAAATGACATGGTATAGTAGTTCTCTCTTTGCTTAAAGGTTTTGGGCTTCCCTTAAACGTCTTTGTTAGTTTGTTAGCTGGGTGATTGATTCACCGCACATGGTTGAAATCGTTTACTTTCCTTTATTGAAGTTGGGTTTATAATGTACCAACATTAAATCCCTTGATTCAACTGATAGGTGATTTCATTTGCATTCATTGGGTTGAGAGCGGGGTAGTGTTACTACCATGTTTCTTCTCTGATGTATTTGCTCTTTTAAATCTTTTGATGTTCATGCTTTGCTTTCTCCGAAAATGCTGGGAAATAACTGTGGTCGCTGTTGTTGCTTTTTTAGGCTTCTAGTTCTGGTGGGTGCTGTAGGAGCTTTGGGTGCTACATATTGTCTACCATATATTGTTGTTGATGGTGCTTATCATCCTTGGGCGTTAGGTCGACTGGTTCCTCAAGGTTAGTAGTGTTATATCTACCATTTCTTTGATAAGTTATTATAGTCTTTTGATTTTATCTCCTTTGCTTTGATAACATTATTGGTGTGGTATTAAAAGTTCTATTCCTTGATTTGATGGCTTTTTATATATTTTTTTTCCATTGATTGCAGCAAAGGAATTAGTACTAGCAAATCAAATAATGAATGGAAGCCTTCCCTGAAACCAAGTAAGAATTTATGTTGCAGTGAAGGTCGAAGTTTTGCTCATTAAGACTATTACATCGATTCGGTGTTGCAAAGTTTCTTAGGGTGGTTATCTGGTGGTGCAGGCCTTTTTCCAGGTCCATTGTGATCTCCAGCTTTTGTTTCAAAGCATTTTAGGCCGCTGTTTTTCCAATACAATTTAGGTAGTTTATACTGGCTTCTGTTTTCTTCTCTTGATTTCAAATCTTTCATTTTCATTCATTTGTTGTGTTTACTCAACCTTCTCTCTTCTTATTTTTTATTTTACAGTTATATGAGAGAAACCCCTGCGCATGCTTTGTCAATTTAATAACATTTTTGCAATCTGACAGAAGGCAGATCCTTGTTGAAAAGAAAAAAAGAAGAAAAATGAAAACAAGGAAAAATACTTAATGGAGGCCTTTCCTTAAACCAGGTAAGAATTTGTACCTTTCCAACTCATTACAACACTTCAAAGGGGCCAATGTATCTAGGTGCTAAGCCAAAACATATTACCTGCTTATAGGGGGAAACTTTAATAAACACTTTATCACCCACTTCAAACTCCACATCTTTTCTCTTTAAATCTGCATAGCTCTTTTGTCTATCTTGAGCTTGTTTCATTCTACGTCGGATTAGCTGGATATCTTCTATCATTTTCTGAGTTATCTCCGGCCCAAGAGCTGTATGTAACTCATCTTTCTCTCCTACCTCATCCCAATGCAGTGGAGATCTACATCGCTTACCATACAAGGTTTCATAAGGAGCCATCTTAATTGTAGACTGATAACTGTTATTATAGGCAAACTCCACAAACGGTAACATCTCATGCCAAGTCATTCTATAATCCATACAACATGCCTTCAACATATCCTCAAGTATCTGATTTGTTCTCTCAGTCTGGCCATCTGTCTGAGGATGGTATGTTGTACTAAATGCCAATATGGTACCCAAGTTTCTCTGTAGACTAGTTCAGAAAGCTGAAACAAATTTGGAATCTCTATCCGACACTACGGTCTTGGGCATACCATACTCTGACTATCTCCCTAATATAGATCTGGGCCAACTGATATGACGTAGTGCTATCCTTTACTGGAAGAAAATGGGCTGATTTCGTTAATCTGTCTACTATCACCCATATCGCATTATACCCCTTTTGAACTCTTGGAAGGTTTGTGATAAAATCCATTGATATACTTTCCCATTTCCATTCAGGAATGCTGAGTGGCTGAAGCAAACCTGATGGTTTATGGTGTTCTACTTTCACCTGTTGACAAACCAAACACTTAGTCACATAATCTCCAATATCTCTCTTCATACCTAGCCACCTATTAAATTTTCTTTAAATCCTTATACATCTTGGTTCCTCCAGGATGAACAGTATATGGTGTATCATGAGCCTCCGCAAGAATCTTTCTCTTCAACTCAGCATCTTGGGGAATGCATATGCGATTCCAGAAACGGAGGACACCATCTAACATGTGGAATTCTGATATCTTGCCCTCAATCACTTGTTGACTTATTTTCTGACACTACTCATCAACAACTTGTTTTTCTTTAATCTCTTCCAGTAAAGTAAGCTGAATATCTAACTTGGCAAGCCTTCTCGGTATCACCTCTATTTGGTCCTTAATCAACTCTCCCAATAACTCTTTCTGTCTTGTGAATTGAGACAAGTAGGTCTTTCTACTCAAGGCATCAGCTACTACATTGGCTTTTCTAGGTTGATACTTAATTTCACAATCATAATCTTTTACCAGCTCTAACCATCTCATCTGCCTCATATTCAACTCTCTTTGGGTGAAGAAGTACTTCAAGCTCTTATGATCCGTATAAATGTTACTTTTTGCTCCATACAAATAATGCCTCCATATTTTCAGTGCAAAAGCTACAACAGCCAACTCTAGATCATGTGTAGGGTATCTCGTCTAATATTCTTTTAACTGTCGAGAAGCATAGGCTATTACTCTACCCAACTACATCAAGTCCCTAAAATGAGGCATCTGTATAAATATCATAATCTACACCCTCCTGTGGTAACACAAGAATAGGAGTTGTGGTCAATTTTCTTTTTAACTCTTGAAAACTTTCTTCACAGGCATCTTGACCATATGAAAGGAGTTCTCTGTTTGGTGAAGTTGTAAGTGGCTTAGCCAACTGAGCAAACCCTGCTACAAACCACCTATAGTAACCTGTTAACCCCAAGAAACTTCTAACTTCCTTTACTGTCTTCTGTTTTTGCCATTCAAGAATTGCTTTTACCTTACTTTGATCCACTGATATACCCTCCTTTGAGACGGTATGGCCGGGGAAGATAACTTGATCTAGCCAAAACTCACACTTAGAAAATTTGGCAAACAGCTTCTTATCTCGCAATCGTTGTAACACAAATCTTAGGTGTTCTTTATGCTCCTCTTCTATCTTAGACTAAACCAGGATATCATCAATAAACACCACTATGAATCTTGATCCACTGATATACCCTCCTTTGAGACGGTATGGCCGGGGAAGATAACTTGATCTAGCCAAAACTCACACTTAGAAAATTTGGCAAACAGCTTCTTATCTCGCAATCGTTGTAACACAAATCTTAGGTGTTCTTAATGATCCTCTTCTATCTTAGACTAAACCAGGATATCATCAATAAACACCACTATGAATCGATTAAGACAATCCTGAAACACCCAGTTCATTAAGTCCATAAAGACTGATGGGGCATTGGTTAACCCAAAAGGCATCATCACAAACTCATAATGCCCATATCTGGTCTGGAAAGCAGTCTTAGCAATATTTTGCTCCACAACTCTTACTTGGTGATAACCCAACCTCAAATCAATCTTTGAAAACACGGTTGCTCCTTTCAGCTGATCAAACAAATCATCTATGCGAGGTAACGGGTATTTATTTTTCACTGTCACTTTATTTAACTCTCTATAATCTATACACATCCGTAGAGATCCATCTTTCTTCTCCACAAATAAAATTGGAGCACCCCAAGGAGAATGGCTAGGTCAAATAAAACCCTTGTCTAAGAGTTCCTAAAGTTGCTTTTTCAATTCTTGAAGCTCAATTGGGGCCATCCGGTAAGGGGCTTTAGAAATTGGTGTTGTCCCTGGTGCCAGTTCAATACTGAATTCCACTTCTCTTTCCGGAGGTAAACCCGACAAATCTTCCGAAAATACATCTTAAAACTCCCGGACTATGGGCACATTCTGAATCTCTAGTTGTGGGACATTACTATTGTGCACTACATGAGCAATATACCCCGAGCACCCTTTTCTTAACATCTTTATGGCCTTTACACTGCTAATTAACATACTAAGCTGGTGACCCTCGCAAAAACTAAACTTATCACCATAATCAAGATTAAATCTTGCTTTCTTCTTCTAACAATCAATCTCTACTCCAAATTTCTCCAAGAAATCCATGCCCAAAATAACATCAAAATCGAGCAAATCAAACACTATCAAATCCACTAGCAACTCTTTTCCATGGATCACTACAGACTCTCCTGGAAGCATCTCTTGAGTTACCACACTAACACCATCTGGTAACTCTATCTTAATGGGACAATCCACTGTAATAGGTTTCAAACCTAACCTCTCTAAAATCTCATGTGTAATAAATGAATGTGTGGCTCCAGAATCAATTAATGCATAAAGGGGAACTGAGTGAAATAATAACTAACCAGTAACTGCGGATGGGCTAGCTTTACTTCACTCTGAGCTACTGTAAACACTCGAGCATTGGTACCTTTAGGTGTTCGCGCATAGGTGCAGGAGGGGCTTTGCAATTTCTCATTATATGCCCGCTGTTGGCATTTATAACATACATTTCGGCCCAAATCTTTAAGACACTCCCCATAATGATTTTGTCCACACTTCTAGCACTGGGGAACTTCAACAGTTCTCGGCCTTTTATTCTGCCAATCCCTCATGTTCTTCATGGGTTGAAATATTTTCTTATTTCTCACCTCTCTATTAGTGGGGGCATCAGCTCTATCTCTCTGTATAGTAGGAGGTGGAACACTTGGGGCTACTATTGATGGAGTTGCTGGGGTTAGCTTACTCACAAATATTTCTGCCCGTAAGGCTCGTTCCAAAGCTTCACTATATGTTTGAGGGGGCTGGGCACCAGCCATCACATCTCGGGTTATTTCTGGTTTTAGCCCTTGCACAAACTTATCCCTCCTCAATTATGGTGTACTCACTATACCTGGCACAAACCTTGTCAGGGAATTAAATTTCATCGAATTTTCTTTCACTAAGCTAGTCCCCTGTTGCAAACTGATAAACTCCTGAACCTTTTCATGAACTCGATCAACTGTTCTATATTCTGCCTCAAACAAACTTCTGAAATCCCCCCAAGTCATCGAGGCTATATCGTGACCGTCGTACGCTCCACGGATCTAAACCACTCTTCTGCCACTATTGGGTTCATCGTACCCCTGAATTCTGACGACTGATATTGACTAGGCAACCCATATATCGACTCAATACGATTCTGCACTATCGGGGGTACCGGCCTTTCTCTCCCATCTCTAGGGGTTAGTACAATAATTGGGGTCTCAATTCTCTCCAGTACAGAGCCTCCCTGATTCTCTACCAAGACTTGCTGTATAATATTATGGATCCTCGCTTCATCGAGATAGGGGGAGTAGATTATGAAGAGTTGGAAGCTTCACCCATACTCATTGCCTTCTTATTGCTTGCTCGAGTTCTACATCTCATCTACATAACACCAACACTTTTAATCAACTCAATTAACTTATCTACTACAAGTAAGGAAAAAAAATAACTTACAACGATCGGCTACGGGACGTCAATGCGGCGGGAGAGGCACACTGTCAACTCGTTCTAATAAAAAGCTCCCAAAACCTTTGCTTTGATACCAAAAATGTAATGCTCTCTCTCTCTCTAGCTAATATACTCGTAAAATAATAGTAAAACTCACTAAAAATATATAAGAAAATATATATGTAGATGAGTATAAAATAATAGGCCTATATCTAATTTTTCTTTATATACAAATCTTTACATAATGTAATAAAGTCACAAAACATCAACTCGACAGTGTTGCCAAACCCTTCCGCTTCTTGACGTTCCAAGCGATCGCATCTCACCTACTACCTACAAAAACATTGAAAATAACGGGGTGAGCACTAATTGCTCAGTAAGTAAACTCGTTATGCTATTCTTCTATCTCCGTTGCTCATATTCTGAATTTCTTTCCTTACATCACACTTCTCTATTCTTCTCTGTTCTTTCTCTATTTCTAATTTCTCACTACTCATGATAATAGGCATGGTATTATGCATTGGTATGATGCATATGCACAAATGCATAGGATGTGCATTTTCTTTTCTGTTTTTCTATTTTCTTATTCTGTTTTCTGTTTCTTTACTTTGTATTTCTTTCTATGCTTCATTCTATTCTTTCTTTCTTTCTTACCGATTAAACTCGGCTGAGACATGGATTTGGAACCCTGGCCCTGTGAGTGTATTATCTAATTATGGGTATAGTCCTCATCCACATGCATTTCTAATGGACTGTACAATTCTTCTTTCTGATTCTGAGGTCGCTCACTAAAGGCGACGTGCATGCGGTGCTAGGTCACTCACGAGTTCTCCATCGCAACAACCTTCTCTTCTCTTATCTTTTTACACTTCTTTAAATAAAATTTTAGATTTATACTTCTTTAATATTTCTCTTTATTCTTTGTTCTTTAATGCTCTTATGAGTATGTATGCATGTAGATGGGCTCATGCTTATTATTCTTTCTAAATTCACATGTTTGGATGCAATAATGCAATATGGAATGTTAACATGTCATTCTCTACCATCTACAAACTGATCTCAAGGTATCAAGTAATCATAATCATGCATGCACTTCTCTTTGACATTTCATCAAACAATTTATATGCACACACAAACTTTAAATTGGCTACACTTCTACATCTCTTCTAAGCCACCAAAATTTGGAACAAAACTCACCAAAATCAACGTCAAACATGGCCAAGATTTACACTTCATAAATTCTACTCCAATTCTTCCATAATTCATCCAAACTCTCATCAAACATCAAGTACACAAACACTATTTCTCATGGATAAATTCTAACCATCATTCAACATCCATTCGATCAACAATTCTTCATATATAAGCACATACATGTATAAAAGAAGTTTTCAACACAATATTGCTTCAATCATGACTAGAGTTGGATTTACTTACCTTAGATGTGAGTAATCCAACACTTTAATAGTCTTCCTTTAACACAACTCCCTTTCTCTTAAATCTTATGAACACAAATCATAAGAATTCAACACTTTAAAAATTAAATCTTACATCTTAGTGCAAGGATCTTACCTAAGGATGCTTGGGATTGAAATTCCACTAAAAATATACCAAGATCTATGAATTTTCCTTGAAAAGTGATTGAAGAAATTTGAGAGAACTCGGGTGGAAAGTGGTGTGAATGGAAGGGAAATAATGGCTAGGGTTTCATTCTTGAACTCCTAATATAACAAAATATTATTTATAGTTTCCCATTTTACCCTTGCACTTTCTATGAAATTTCATCTATGTCCCTTAGTCAATTACCATAACACCCTCATTTTTACTAACTTCTCCATGTTATTCTACTTCTTTTCACTCCCCACTTTTTCAACTAATTATGAGTGAAAATACAATTTTACCTCCAATGAAGGTTTAAGGAATTTTCTTCACACTTGTTCAAGATAACTTTAACAAATTCAATTAAAGGTATTAAGGCATAAATAAAGTTACAAACCTCGATGTGGGCGTTACATGTTTGCTATAGGCACTCCGACGCTCAAGTCAGCAAGGTTGAGTGAGACTAATTTAGTGAGGGTTAAGGAGAGAGAAGGTTACCGAAAGTTTAGTCAGAGACTATAACTATGATTGTGATGTGAAATTCTCGAGAGTGAGAATTGCGGGGTCTGAAGGTGTAGTGTCTATCTCTTGTGAGAGGATTGGCCTTTATTTGATTAGTAACTGTAGGATCTTCGAATCCTAGTAGGACTGTGAGTCCTTGGAGTTGAGGTTTCATGAAAAGGAGAACCTTTGGTTCCCTTACCTTAGTGGAAAGAAGGAGTCCCAACGGGTTTAAGACACAGATTTTAGACGAATTAGAGTAGTGATAGACCTCTTCGATAGAGTTCAGAGAGTACCGAGGTAAGTAGGCAACCCTGGGCTCCAAGTAGATCCTAAGCCTAGAAGGTGGTCTAGGATCAGAGGGCCTGGGCCCAGATAAACTGGTGGTGTGACCTAAACGAATCGGATCTCTATTGATTAGGTCCAAATGGTGAGCAGTTGGATAGGTGTACCGGATTGACCTAATATGCAAACTCTGTTGCGAGCCCAATCGGAATTGGGCCTTCGGCTTCGATTTTTGTTGAAGATGTCTTCATCTTTGGGCCTATTTGGACCGAAGACATTTTTTGGCCTTAATATAAAGTATGATATGTTGTTTAGTGAAAATATAACTTGGACAACTTGTCATTGGAGCAATATGTATTCGCACGACTGCTTTTTCTCTTATCCTTTAGTTTGTAATAATTATTCTTACCTTTCTGTACAGTCCTACCATATGTTTGTTCAAATAGAGTATTTTATTGTATTTCAGAAATCTACAAAATACAATAATCTCAAAGTATCCCAATTCACTCATGCAATAATTTACATTCAATAGCGGGACTCTCAAATATGTCAGCGTAAGTCGATAATCCGTCAAGGTCATACGAAGTATAAACCATATCAAACAATGTCATAGGAAAGCAAATTGTTACAGCGACAAAAGCATTTCTAAGAAGTAAAATCTCCAAATGTTGCTGGAAAGAGTTCATCTCGAGGCACTTCATTGAAAAAAAAAATGCTCTCTTCAGTAGTCATCCTTTTCGTTTGCTTCCAACACTCCTATAACTGATCTCCAGGGAATTGCACACATAGATCATCAAGGATAAGTACTTCATCAACCATCAATTTCTGTATAATCTGCTGGAATGTAAACACATAATTTAGTTTATCGAAGAAATGAGTTCGATTCAGTTTGTCAGTCTCTTTTGTAGGCATCTTGATTTTTTTAAATTTGGACTTTAGCTCTTTCTAACGAGAGTTAACTCTTGTATGCGAGATTTCAAAGAATAATTCTGACTAGAAGTAGAGAAGAAATTCATTCGTGCCTTTGGATATTTGTCACTTTATTTGTCCACTCTTAGCATACTATAAAAATAGAACAGTACGAGATAGGGAGAGCTAAAGCCAAATTTTTCTGCTAATGATGACGGCTGTATCAAACTCGAAATCTACACATTGTTATTGCAGAATATCATTAGACCAAAGTGGCAGATCGATGTAATTGTTCTTGATCTTAATGCGTGCTTAAAAATTCAGAAAAAAATAGAGACTGATTGTTTAGATGAGCTCCCAAAATTGCCAAAGGTGCACATGAATGGATCAAATGAGAAGAATATGTAAATAAAGTCAAGTATTTGCACCTTAACAAATTGTAAAATTAGAGCCCAAAATATTCAATGTGCTCAGTGAATTCTGAATACCAAATACAGAACAGTCAGGTTGAAGGACATTGGATAAGCAACTTCAGTCTCAGCACAGGAGATAAGTTTTCCCTGATATCTGAAACTACTATTAGCATTAGCAAGCCTCTTCTGGAAAGCAAAATCAATTGCTAAGATAACTGCATCAAACTGAAAGCGTGAAAATATTTATAATGTATAGAAGTACTAATTAACATTTATGATAGAAAATTGGGGTATAAGATTTGGTAAGTGTAACAATACTCTTCAAAAGCTTACCATTGCACTTGGTGTATTGATGATAGATTACAATTCAGATTTCAGTTGCTTCCTTCATAAGAGATTAAGACACTCTGTTAGTATAGAATTCTGAATAAGCTGGTCATACTTTCAATTGAAGGTAGATAACTAGTTATTATTGACTTAACTAAGGACTGAAAATATCTAAATCGAAAAGTAGAATTGATTGACCTGATACTATTTTTCTAAGTTCAATTTTCCTCCTCTGGATTGTAGATAAATCTTCCATTTATTTCAACACAAGGAATGTCAACTATCTTAGACCACTCTCGTCCTTTATCTCTTCTACATTGTTTTTCTAGGAGAGGACATGAATCTATGTATAACCGCAAAAGTAAGGATAGCAAGCCTTCCTCTAGGAAAGATATGAGCCTTGGGCAATCCTCAATCTCCAAATTTTCAAGAGACAATAATTCTCGAAAAACCTTGGAAGATAAATATTTCAATTGCGGAAATTTAGAAATGACCAAGTGAGTTAGAGAGCTTGGGAGCATCATTCCCATCTCCTCCTGCGGAAAACAAACTACATCTGAACATCCACAAATCTCCAGGTAAGTAAGAGAGATGAACTTGTGAAACCCCCACTCCCTCAAGGACTTATAAATTTCAAGATTATTCAAAACTGAAAGTCCTCTTAGGCTGGTAGGACAACCTTCTACCAGAAATGATCTAATACTTGGACAATCTTCGATTTCCAAATATTGGAGACGGCCGAGACTTTGACTGTGGTTGGGCAGGCCCTTAAGTTTCTCACGTCTATAGAAGGACACCTCAATTAAATTGTTGTTGCGAAGCCCTTCTTCCGGGAAGGAAACAAGATTTGGACAGTCTGGCAAATCAATCTCGTAAAGATAGTTAAGATTGCGCAGTCCTTCAGGCAAGGAGTTAAGATTCTCACATCTCTTTATACGTATTGATCTAAGAGACATGTTACTTCCGAACTTCTCTGCTATCAACTCTAGCTTTGAGCAATCCCAGATTTTGAGATTTGTGAGTGACATAGGTAACTCTCCAGTTAATGAAAAAGTTGTGAGGTTTGAGCAATTCCGAATTTTGAGATGTTTGAGCTTGTCAAATAATTGACCTCTTGATGACAAACAGGTCAAAGATGGACAATTCTCGACATACAACGACTCAAGAGAAAAAGTATCCTCTATATCATCAAACAAAACCTGCAGGTTCCCACAATTTACTAGTTCAAGCGATTTTAGAGATGGAGGAAGATGCCCTTTTGCAATGGATGCTATAGAAGGATGACCTTCGATTCACAATTCTTGAGGACATGTATTGCCATGCTTTATTTCCTGTGTCAAGGATGATAGAACATCGCCATTTATAATCTCAAGCATCCTTAGAGGGGAAAAAATGCTGACATCTGGAAACGGAACAAGAGTTGGGGAATCTTGATTACGTAGTGACTTGAAGGAGTTGCAGGTTTGCAACCCTAGTGGTGGCGTCTCAAGAGAAATCTCATTGTGCCACAAACGGGCGAGTTTCTCACAATTAACGATACTTAATCGTTGTAATTTCTGATACCCTTGCCGTAACCAATTGTCAAACTCCGAAATATTTTCAGGAGTCGAAGCATTCTGTGAATTGGAGTCAGCTGGATTATAATTGCCCGTAGGAAGGCTTGGGCATGAAACCACCAACTGCGAACATTCGTGAATTTCAAGCTCCACCAACGAAGGAAGCTTGTCTGGTAATCTTCCAATGAGTTTGGGGCATTTGACAATTGAAAGCTTGAGGAGTTGAGGAAAAATTTCAACATTCTCACTTTCTTGGATTAGGTTCCAATGTATCCATTCTTGCAAATCCTCGGAAGAAAGAGTCTCTATAAAAAGCCTCTGAGCATCTCTCTCCAAAAATCTCAGAACCTATGTTTCTTATTTTTGTCATCCTTCTGATGGTGAGATCTTTGAGTGAGCTTAGTTGTCCAAGAGGAGGTAAAGATTAACATTCTGCATAACTTTCCAATCTTAAAACCACCAAGTTGGAGAAAGATGAATCTCCTATCCAAGATAGAAATCTCTTGCCACCATAGACATTGATTATGAGTCCTTTTATATTTCCATAAGGTCGAAGCATATCAAGTACATTTTCCTTTGCCGCCTTATTGCTTGAGTTATCAGATTGAGAGCGCCATTTCAAAGACAATATTTCTAGGTCTTTTTTATCTCTTAAAATCGTCTCTCCGATATCTTGTTCATTAGTCACATTCTCTAATCTTGAAATGAAAAGTTCTCCTTGGAGAAACTTTAGATCTTTCAAATCTTTCAATTGGGATCTAGTGTCTTTGCCCACAATAAAATTAGACAAAGTATGAAGACATTTCAATTCTTTCATTCCCAATGGCATATTTTTCAGTAAATTTACACCTCTAATATCAAGATGACGTAGACTGATCAAATTTCTCATATTGAGAGGCAACTTCAAAAGACGAAAAACAATTTCGTAATATTAAACTTTGCAAGTTGAGCAATGAACATATTGATTCTGGTAAATTTCTGATCTGAGTATGAGAAAGATTGAGGTACCTTAGATGTTTCAAAACTTTGATTGAATCAGGTATCTCCATGATATAGTACCTTCTTAAAGATAGCACCCATAATTTTTTGAACTTTAACAACAAATTAGAAAGCACCATATGTGATATATAATAATAATTGTCTTCATCATCCTCATCATCGTCTTCATCATTGTCATCATCACCATCATCGTTATTAACTTCAGCATTAGCATTATCATCTTCATCTTCATCGTCATCATCATGGTTTTCATTCTCATTGTCACCAATTAGTAAGACAATAAGCAGGAATGTTCTTAAGTTCTCAAGTTTATGGAAGATCTCAAATTTACTTTTGCCATCAAAAGTACGAGAAATATAAGAAGAATGGTGCACCCTTTCAACACTTTTCAATTGTTTATTCTAGGCCATTACATCCTCCAGCCTAAAACTTGATTCTTCGAAAACCCATTGAGCCAGACCGTTGACAAGGTCATGCATTAAAAACTTAGAATTATTACTACTTGATCGTTGAAAAATTGACCTTGATACTAGATCACGAAAATACTCACTGCCCAAGTCTTCTAATTGCTTGTTACCTTTGGATTCTCTAATAAGACCTTCGGCTATCCATAAAAGGACAAGTTCTTTTTCTTCAAATTCATAACCTTTTGGCAAAATTGCACAATAGGCAAAACATCTCTTCTCATGTGAAGGAAGATGATGATAGCTTAGCATTAACACCGGTAGGATCTCATTTTCATTTGGTAAAATCCCAAATTTTGCTGTTCAGTATGTTGTCACATTCATCATCTCTTGTCATGGAGTGTAAAAGTCCACCAAGAGCCCCTGCTGCCAATGGCAAGCCTCTACACTTTTCGATCACTTTTTCACGGATCATTTCCACATTTCTACGCGCACCAATATCTCTGTCGTCAAATGCATGCTTCATGAACACGAACAAACAATCATAATCCGATAGAAGCTTTAAGTTATAGTATACACCAGGCGCTATAGTCAATGCAACATCTTCATTTCGTGTTGTCACAATTATTATACTTCCTGAAGCTCCAACCATGAAAGGAGATTTTAATGTTTCCCACAAGCCATAATTAGTGCTCCAAACATCATCTAAAACTAGTAAGAATTTTTTACCAGATACTGCCTCTTTTAGTTGAAGCTATACAGGATTTAAATCCTTTAAATCACAGGATGAGAAAGTGATAGACTCCATAATTGCTTTTGAGATTCTCAAAATATCAAAGTCACTAGAAACACAAACCCATGCCTTTTTGTCGAACTTAAAATCTTCCATTGCCTTATCGTTGAACACATGCTGAGCAAGAGTTGTTTTAACGATGCCTCCCATACCAACAATGGGAATCACAAGAAAGTTGGCATAACCCGATTCAGCGGTTGACATGATTTTGATTATTCTGGCTTTATCTTCTTCTCTCCCATAAACAGCAGATTTGATTGGCAAACTTGTTGTGGGTGGTGGTCTTTGCCATTCAGCAGGAATTGATGACCCTCTAGCAATCTTCTCCAATCCAAGATTAGTTATTTGTTTACAGAGATCCTGCATCCGGCGAGTGATATCTTTTATCTTGGACCGCATGCTAGCATTGAATTTAATAGTACTTGGTCTGCAAGCACCGACGCAAGAAGGGATGCGACTTTGAGCCTTGCTAGTGCTAGCCTGATCCTCCTCCAACTTGCACCTTAGTACTTCTGTAGCGAACTCCTCTAGAATGTCCTCCACATCATAAGCCAAGTCTTGGAGATCATCCAACCACATTTTCACGGCCCCATTAGTCAGTTGCTTCTCCTCTGCATCGTTGAGCACAGCTTCAATCATCTTCAACGTTTTTTCCCACTTTTTTAGCTTTCACGCTACTCTCTCCTGCTGGACGCCAGTCTGTCAAACAGCAATTGAAGGAAGGCAGAGAGAAATACCTCTGATAAAACCATGGCGCAATTTCTCTTTTGGAAATAGGGTTATCACAGGAATGAGATGGATGAATGCAGGTAACATGGATTTTCTTTCTTTTCTTCGAGAGAGTTCTTTTCTTTTTCTTTTGCAATTAAAAAGAAAAAAATAAAATAATTAAAAAGTTTTAACTCTTCCCACTTTATTTAGCTTTTTCTACTTCCCCTTTATACCTTGTCTCTTCTTTCTCTTTCTCTTTGCTATTTCTTCCCTCCTAATAATTTTTTTTTTTTTTTGGTTGAAAATAAAGGTGCATAAAATCACTCACGACTCACTTCTTATCTATCCCAGATAACTCAGGGTTGGTTTGGTTTAATATTTCCCACTATCCTATTCATACTATTTTCAAAATATCAGTTTGTTTCCTATTTTGAAAATACTATTATATTTTCTTCAACTACATTTTAAACCTTTTAAGTTTATTAATTTAACTAAACACCTCCAGAAAAAAAATTTAAAAATTAATAAAAACAACTCCATTCACTCACATTTGTCAAATTCTGACTACATCGTCGGAAGGTAGCTGGAATCTGGTATAATGACACACTACTGGCTGGATCTGATCGGTAGTGCGTTGATCTATCATTTTTCGGCCAGATCCACGGCCAAAGACATGGTCGTCGTTGACAACCAAACATGGCCAGATCCACGGTGGATCTAGTTGGAAAAGGCCATCTCGGTGCACAACCAGTCAAATCCAGGCGGTTGTGCATCGATACGGTGGCTTCGGCCACCCTCCGACGGTTGTGGCTGGCTGTCGGACTTTAATGGGTGAGTGGGAGTGTTTTTGTAATTTTTAATGTTTGTATTACAGGGGTGTTTAGTTATTTAACAAACTTAGGGGGGTGTTTTTGTTAATTTTCAAATTCTACCATGTTATTCCCACCCAACTCTAAAAATATCAAAAATATTATCCAAAATACTAAAACAAACGCACCCTCAGATGTTCATAATTATCCAGTTTAATCCAGACTCTCAACCATACTCTTCTTAAGAGAGAGAACTCCAAGAAGCACAACTAATGAATATTATGCAAACAGGACAAGAAAAAACAAATCACTAATACCTTATTCTCTTCATATAAGCATCCAACTCAACCATCAAACAATTGCTCAAATATATAGACCTCACGAAATCGGGATAGATTTCATCCAAATGATGTGGTGTCTTGACTTTCGTGAACTTTAATAATGGTTTATACAGACCCCACAAATCGGGGTAGATTTCATCCGAACGATGAGATGTCTTGACTTGCCGACGTTTGTTTCTTGCGTTAAAAAAAAAGTGCATATGGTTCATATGGTGTATAAGCACAAGACTAGTCATGTCTTATGTAATAAGTCGGTTTGGTCATATGTTATTCATGTGCGAGGACAAGTGATGGTCAAGATGGGATCCGTTAACTCAAAATAGTCCAATCTCGACTTCCTAGACGAATGTCAATAAACATTGGAAAAGGGAAATCTCTGGCTAGAGTATAATGAATGTCAAATGAAAAGTAGTTTCATGTTGACGAGTTCCATTGTATCAATTGACAATTCGATTAAAGATTAAGTTAAATGTTTTGACATACTATGAATCATTCTTAATCGGGATTAGATAACAGAGAGATTTGACTACACGATACATACGATCAGAATAGGTTCATTGGAGTTTACACTTCATTGTGGTTTAGGGGTTATGGAACATTGCTAGACGTCTACCATAATCAGTGGGAGTTTCGATTATAAAGAATTATAACGAAACATATCAAAATCAGATATTGGGCCCACGGTTAGATCACAGTGAAATCAAAATGGTCACACATAAAACCAAGCTCAAGGAGAGAGAGTAATACATATAATTAATCAGATTAATGATGTTCGGACGTAAACGGTTGCATCCGAATTAATATATTGGTGAGAAATGATTATCCATGGATAGCTAGCACTAACCAAGGGTAATAAGGATTTATTAAATATTATTATTGAATTGGATTCAATGATGGGGGCAAAAGTGCATTGGCTTTATTCTAAAGAGTTAGAATATTTAATGGAATTAAAATTTGGTCTAATTATGAATTAACCATAAAACCAATGACTTGACATAAATATTTATTCTCAAGTTAATTTTAAATTGTTTGAGGCCTTCCCAAAACAATTTAAAATTACACTTTGTGCCCATGGTATATAAATTAAGTTTTATACCATTTTAATTCAATTGAATCAATTGAAACAAAAAGCAATCTCTCACTTTCTCTCTTACTCTCTCGGCTCTCTCATCTTTGGCTTGGGTGGACTTCATTTTGAGTTTCTTCATTTTCTTTTGAAGAATCTAGACTCCAAGTTTCAACATCAAGCTTTTAATAGTAAAATGAGTTGGTAATTTTCTATCATTTTCTTATTAGTTTGTTATCCGGGCTTGCGTGTCCTAAATTGGTTTATGTAATCGTACGACCGGACAAATGATGGAGATTCGATCAATCACCAGATGAAGATCCGCAAGGAGTAATAGAATTAGGTGAATAGTTTACCTAATTAGGATGTATATTCCAAAACCCCATGATCATCCCACCATGTTTTATATTTATATGGATGCATTTGAATTAATGTATGTGATAAATGTAAAACATTTTTTAATCAAAGGTTAAACCTAATAATCTCCCTAACAAACAATATTAGATCCAAGCCTTCCATTATGGGCCAATTAATTCTTTGGCATAAAATTAGAGATCCCAAGATTTCTATTATGTGAGAGATGCTAATTTTATGACATGGAATTAATTATCTTAGTTCTTGGATAGAAATTTTCATAATACCCAAGATTTCTATTATGTGAGGGTATAATGGAAATTCTATTTTAAGAAAGCATAATGGGTTGGATTTAACTAGTATAGGGTACCAAGATTTCTATTATGTGAGGTATCCAAAACTAGAGGCAATGATTGAATCATAGCTTATATAGTGATATAAAAGGAAATAGTTTCCTACTTGTTAAATTTAATTGACCAAAATTTCTATTATGTGAGGTTTAATTAAATTTAATAAAAATTTGATTCCCCACTAGAAATTTTTTCCAATGAAATTTTCAAGTAATCATTTAGGGGAGTATGGGATTTGAATAAAATAGTGAGAGCTAATAAGATTAACATTAAAGGGTTTGAATTTACAAGACACTAATAAAACTTATATTTTTCCTTGTAGTCTCTTTCGGTATTTTGTGATATTTAGTTAATGAAAATAAGCAATAACTTTCTTTTGAGGATTCTCGATAACAACATGCTGATCGGACCTAATTTTAATAATTGGTTAAGGAATTTGAGAATTATTCTCAATTCTGAAAAGGTCGGGTATGTCTTGGAAGCAGCCCTTCCACTTTCTTTGTCTCCTGATGTCACACACAAGAAATGGAAGTTTTCAATAAGTGGTAGAAGGATGACTTACGAGCTCGAACCTACATGCTAGTATCAATGAATGTTGAGCTCCAGGTTGAGCATGAAAAGATGGAAAGTGCGAATGAGGAGATAATGATCCATTTACAAGAGTTGTATGGTGAGAGCTCAGTGGTGAAGCAATACGAATTGTGTTTGACACTATTCACAATGAGGCTTAGGGAGGGACTTGCCCCAAATGATCATGTTATGAAAATGAGTAATATTATAGGGCAATTGCGTACACTTGAGATTGTAATGCCACACAATCTTGAGGTGAATTTGATTCTGCAATCCCTTCTACCAAGTTTCAAGCTCTTTTTCACAAATTATAATCTCAATAGGATTGAGCGCACTTTTGCAGAACTATCGAATGAGATTCAACAATTCGATAAGCAGGGAAGAAAGGAAAAGGGGCAAGATGATATTTTTGCAGCTTCTTCTAGTAAGACTAAGAAGATGCAATGGAAGCAAAAGAAAGGTCCAAAAGTTGGACCACGGAAAAGGCCTTTTAAGAAGGATGCTTCTAAGACTGAGAAGGGCAAAGAAAATGTCAATGATAAAGGCCAGTATTTCCACTGCAAGAAAGATGGACATTGGAAGAGGAATTGTCCTCTTTATCTGAAGAGCTTGAAGAAAGCTCTAGCAAGTATGTTCCATTCTTATGTTATAGAATTAGAATTAAATGTTAGTTCAAATGATCATTCCTAGATATTAGATTCAGCTGCTACATCTCACATTTGTGTTTCATTGCAGGCACTGCGGAATAATTTTGCACTGTTAAAAGGTGAAGTAATTTTGAAGATGGCAAATGGAGCAAAAGTTACGGCCAAGGTAGTGGGGACTTGCCATTTGACATTGCCATCAGGACACATTTTGTATTTGTACAGAACTTTGTATTTTGCCAAAGCAACTAGAAATCTCATTTCTATTTTTGTTTTATATAAATCTGGTTACAAAATACAGTTTAATGGAAATGAACGTCTAATTTATTTTGGAAATGAATTAGTTGGCAAAGCAATTAATACAAATGGTTTGTATGTTTTGTATGTTTTGGTAATGAATGATTATGACATAATGAATGCCATTACAAATAAGAGATCTCGAAATGAAATTAATTCAAAATTACTTTGGCATCATCGATTTGGTCATATAGGAGATAAAAGGATAATCAGGTTAGAAGCAAATGGGTTTTTAAGCCCATTGGGTTCAGAACCATATCCAACTTGTGAATCTTGTCTTCAAGGAAAAATGACCAAATCATCCTTTAAGTGTAAAGGGGAAAGATCTAAAGAATTATTGGAGGTTGTACATTCAGATGTATGCAGACCATTTAATGAAATGGCTCGAGGAGGTTTTCAATACTTCATTACCTTTACCGATGATTATTCTAGGTACGGGTATTTGTATTTAATGAAATAGAAATTTGAATCCTTTGAAAAGTTCAAAGAGTTTAAGA